TGGTTCCTTAGATTTCCGACCTACACGTAAGGATGATATCATAAGGATAACATTACAGGGACGCTGACAGTGGAGATGATCACAGAGGCTAAATCGTAGGGACCAAACCATAAGGACAAAATGGCAGGGGCCTTTGCCGTTGTGTTTTATCTCGGTGAGGGTGATGGTTCTCATAGAAGAGAGGGTATTGATGACAATCATGGTCACAAAAGATGTCTTCTTCTAAAATTGTGTTAACTTTTATCTTGGTGATGGTGGTGGTACTCACAAAAGAGGCCGTGAACTTTTGTTGATGATGGTGATGGCCATAATGTCGTCCCTGGGTTATATATAGAGAGAAAAGTTCAATTACAAACTGATTTTCGGCTATGAACCAGAGGACAAATGAGAGCGTGACACATGTTTCCAACGTCCACATTCAATATGAATAACGATGGGCATTCAATACGAATATCGATAGTGAAGTTCATGAACTATTCATGATGTATGATAAAAATTCATGATGAACAAACACAATCATAATCAATGTGAAATTGATTCGTTATTCATGATGAATGACACACATTCATCATTATTCATGATGAATGACCCGTGGATGCATGAGATTTGTGTTGCACGCTCCTTTGTCCCTGGATTTATAACCGAAACTCAGTTTTCATTTGAACCCGCCCTTATATATCATAGTTAACTAGAAGTGTACCCGTTTATTGCAAATGGGGTTCACAAATCCATACCTTGTTGTGTTGTTTGTGATTCTCGATTTTATTTTACGGAAAAATCTATAGATGAGTTGATTATTATTTTACCTTAAACTATATTATCAAGACGGGTTTTAAACTAAAGCTTATAAAATTATAATTTAATGGTTTAATTTAAATTTTAGTATAATTTAGATTCGAATAAAAATACATTATATTTTTATTTTAGTTTAATTATGATTTGTTTTATAAAAATAATGACCAAATATTTTGTTAGGGGTCAAAGATCATTTAATTTAAATGATAATTATATTTAAAAATTAAAACATAACATACTTTAATAAAAAAATGAAGTGTTCTATCTCGTATTTTCTTGTGATTATTAGTTATATGAAGAGTTTTAAAATTTTAGATATTTAAAAAAAGTGTTTCATCTGGTATTGCTTATCTAATAGTTACTAGAAGTATACGTGCGCAATGCAGCGAGATACATCGTGCTTTTAATATTTCATTTTATTCTTTATCTCAATCGATGTTATAATATGGCTTCATGTGATTTTGAGAAAACGATGATGTTTTTCTTTTTGAATAAAATATATGTTTGAAGGTATCATAAAAATTTGACAAAAATATATCGATATTAGTATCAAATTAACTATTTGAAATTCCTCATTTTTTGTGTAATTTTTTAATTCAATTTTTTTATAATTTAATTTA